TAAATATGCCTGCGCGAAAGTCTTGCTTATGCCGTCGCGAAAGTTCCGCGTTGGTTTTGTTAAAGTTATTTTTTCCGTGAAGAAGGGCATTCCGGGATGAAGCAATTTGGATCAACAGCCATCTATATATATATGTATGGTATATAACATGTATACATGTATTGAACCCTCCGACACTCGCAGAAACGCCGAATTCTGTAATCTTCAGCAAAGGTGCTCCATTGGTTCCACGTGGCCGCAGGCTACCACCTCCTGGGCAGCCTGGCGATCAGAAGGCTTTGCAGTTCGGAGATGCATCGGCGTATCAACTGAGATCCTACTTCAAAGCATGCTGCAAGCATGTGAGAAGGGGGGATGTCGGTGTTTGCGGGGCTTTCCGTTGAGTTGGGGTTGCAGAGAATGAGAACAGCTGGAGGCGCATGCATCATCTTCCCAAGAGGAAGAGTTTCCGGTTCAGGGCATCCGGGCATCGACGTCTGCATCTCAGGTGACTATGCCATCGGCGAGAGGATGAGCAACGACCCGCTCGTTAGCCTGACCCAGCTGCATGGCGGCAATCACGACAAGAATTATGAGGGTCGTAGGGTACCGAGTATAGCTACAGTATCCGGCCCCAAACCCTATTCTAATGAGAAAGGCCCCGAAAATAAGCGGCATGCGACCACCGGCGCATGGGAAAACCAAGAGATGGCGGTCGCTGTTGCCGAGTCCGGAATCCTAGAGGCTTACAAGCAACCTGCATCTAAGCCTTTAACCCGCCTGAACCCTAAAACCCTAAAGCCCCAAACCCTAAATCTTAAAACCCTAAAACCCAAAAGCCCTAAACCCCAAAACCCTAAAACCCTAAAATCCTAAACCCTAAAGCGGCGTCCCAATATGGGTAGTTCTGTAAATTGGGATCCCTTTTAGGGTCCTTTTCATAAGTGTGTTGTACTATATTGGGGGCCTAGAAGGGAGTCTACTTTAAATTTGGCGAACTACCCATATGGGGTTTAGGGTTTAGGGCAAGATAGGGGCCCAAATAATTACCAATTTTGGGGTCTCCTTGTTAGAATTATAGTATAATCTACCCCCATTCTAATTGCTAACGCCCCTATACAGTAGTCCTAGGGTCCTAGACCCTCACCCCTACTTGAAGCGTTTAGGGTTTTAGGGTTTTAGGGTTTAGGGGTTTAGGGCTTTAGGCTGATGTCACCCTGTGAGGCTGCCAATGGGAGGCATGTGGCAGGCAGGATGTTTTCTCGGATTTGTCGTGGCTGCAGGTTGTGATGGAGAAAAGACGGATATAGAGAGAGGGTTTCCGCGCGCAAGATGTGCTCGGGTTGTGATAGATAGATAGATAGGTAGATAGGTAGATAGATAGATAGACAGAGACGTAGACAGTGGGAGGGTAGGTGACAGAACAGAAAGGTCCAGAAAGGTAGATAGTCTGATCCACCATTGTACGGGATCCGACAAGAATCGGAAGCTCTTTATTACATCATAGTATGTTATCGTATACTAGCATCATATATCATCACAGTAAATGCCAGCATACCGCAGTATATCGTATTGCGGGCAGAACCTTGCCCTAGAGGATGCGTTGCTGGTTGGATCTCGAGGACTTCCGTGTTGACGCGGGCAAGAGCGAACAAAGAAAAAGGAGCGAGAGCAGGGAACCACGGCGCCTCGACGATTTTTCGGAGAATCTTGTGCAGGTGATCTTCACCATCATGTGCCTGGAGTGGCTGACCACCTACATCTGCAAGCCCCCTGAGGCACTGAGGGTAGCAAAACGGGCCCATGGTCCATATAAGAGGTGGCCTTGTGAGCGTGTTCAGGAACATCGAGGAACGCCAATACTAATTGCTCGGGCCCTTAATTACTTGTACCACTAAACCCTAAACCCTAAACCCTTTCGTACCCAGGCCCAAGACTTTGCTTGCCAGGACCGCCCTTGGGATGTGCTCGGCTGGAAGGCCGTGCGCATTGTGGGTTCTTCAAGTTGTTCGGAGAAATCTTGGCGTCTTGTCGGCTGCTTCTGCCAAGGCCAAGGTGTTGCAACGGAGAAAGCCGCAAAACGCACATCAAAGTCGAGAAATCAGTTCGTGACGTGGGAAGCTTCCTCCAAAATGCTGTCCGTCAGGGCATCATCGACGAGGACTACCCTTCCGAGATCTGGAACGGCTGGAAGCGTGTCCAGTGCCAGGCAAGGACGCTTTCCAGATCGGGACATGGATGAAATGAGGGGTGTTATGGCATGGCCTGGCAATCTGGGCTGCTCGTTCTGAGTGCATGGGCAGGCTGTATCGGTTGTTTAGGGTGGTCAACAGAAGCCCTGCGAAAAATGCGCAAATCCGCACTCCCTCCACCACCTTCTCTTGAGCCCGAAGCAGAGCTTCACCAGCATGTCAAAACCCCATGTAATGCCCTAGGCCCTAGTGTAACGCTTGACAGGGCCTTGAACCGCAACCCCTAGAGAGACGCAATCCCTAATCCCCAAACCTTCAATTTAAGCCTCATCAAAGAAAGAGCGCGCCAGGAGCTGAACAACAGCCGCCTGGCCATGGTGGCCATCACCGGACTCGTCGCCCAGGCGGCTTCCTTACTTAATGCGAGGTCCCGCTCTTTACTTGCTGAAAGGGGCAGGCGACTCCATAATCAGTGTAGACAGCCCCGACTAAGGTCTGCAACCATGTTGAACGGCGTGTTTCCACCTTGGCAATGCGAAGCACTGAACCCGACAAACCGCACAAACAAAGCTTTCTCTCAAGTATGGAACAGCGAATTTCGGGCAGGACGTCGTGACCGGCGACTACGTCGCAGGCGTGGGCAAGCTCTGCGGCGGAGCAGCGGTGTGCAACCAGCCCATCGACTACTCTCCTTGGCAGTACCTGGGCCTTTCTTGAAGCACTGAGGCTTTCTGACATCATATATTTTTATGGGGGATCTAATCATGGGGGTTCTTCGATGGGAGCTCCTTTCCAGGGATCCAAAGCTCAGGAACCTCCCTCCCATCGACGACTTCGTGGCCAACGCCCCCTCCTGGGCCAACGGCCCCGCCCTCTACGGCGTCAACTGAGCAGCAGCTCCGGTAGAAGTGCAGGAACGGAAGGGGCCCCTAACGAGGCTTTGATATGTCCAAATCCTGCGACCCTACACCGCCTACCTCCTCCAGACGCCCTCTATTGCCATGCTAATCCTGACCGTCGCGTAGTCAAGAAGCAAGGCATTCAAACTATGCCACATGCAGGCAGATGGCTTTTCTTAAACGTGGGTGCATGTCATACCGTGGGCATCGCAGTGGAGCGTAGGTCAACGTCGTACACCTCAACCCCCAAGTCTAGAATATGAGCCCTAAACCCTGAACTCTAAACTCTAAGCCCATATGGAGATGTTTGACCTTTTGGGGAGCTTCATTCAAGTTGCCATGCTCAAGCTTAGGCTATCTGCCCCCACCATGGCAGCCTCGGTTAAGCTTGCATCATACCTAGTTTGGGTAGGTGATTCCAGGTAGTGCTTTTGTTTGTGTAAGAGCCTTCCCTGGCCTACAAGCTCGATCGCTTCCAGTACGAGAAGCAAGGGTGCCAAGCTTCACGACTCTATTACGGGGGCTCCTTAATGGAAATATTGACTACTATACCCCCAAACATGAGTATCACGACTCTAGCCCGAAACCACCTAAACTGGCAACCCGCCAGCTTACCCATCGGCAGGGGCTCCGTATGCCCGGGACTAGATGAAGAACGCAGAATTGCCAGCGAAGAGGTTTTTTTCGCGCTTCAGGAAAAATTCAAGGAGCCACCACGCAGGGTGCAGGGATTCAGGCTGCTTGGCTCCTTAAACCCCGAACTGCACAAACTCGGCACTGAACCCCTAGAGCCCCGACCCGAATGGATCCAGCTGGGACGGATGGTTGTGCTTATCTGAGAGTTTCTACAGGTTTCGAACCCCATGCGGTGGCGGTTTTGGAGCTAGGGGTTTGGGGTGCAGGGCTAAGGCTGTGCGGCTTTGGTGTATCAAATTCCGGCACATCGGAACTTCCAATACCTTTTACTTTTGGGGATCCGGCTGGCGCAAGGAAGCAACTCTGGGTGTGCTAGCCCAGAAAGGTTTGGAGAAAGGCGTAGCTGCATCGAGTCTCAGCTTGCACCCATGGTTTCGAAGGACCTCCCCCGAGAAAATAAAGGAACTAGTGCAGAAAATAAACATGGGATAGTGAGAGTAACATCCGCAAGCATCGTACATCGATTAAATATGCAGAGTCACAGAGCCAGAGCACAACGAAAAGCCACCCTGGAAGCTACGTAGCACCCACCCTAAACCCTAAACCCTAAACCCTAAACCTGAGCTTCTGCAGGCCAGCACTCGTTCAGAAGGTGGTCGTCAGTCCTTCAGGCGCCGGGCGCCTGTGTTGCGGTTGATGGTATGAAGCCTGCCTTACCCATAATATAAGGAATAGACCATAATTCCCATATTCTTAGGGTCCTTAAGATAAAGCAGGATTTATATCATCAATCGTATTTTCAAGCTTCCGACTTGGGGCTTGTTTGGCTTCTGCAGGCGTAGGTATTCTGAACTGTCGAGCCCTTCGGAACCCAGGGCAACTGAAGGCTGCTGGGGGCAACACTCTTTCTCACATGGGACTTTCCGAAACTTAGGGGTACCTCATTTTGGGGTCCTTATTATAAGGATCCTACTATTTAGGGTGCTATATTAGGGTCCCCTATATTCCAACATAGACACAGCTTTCAACTTCCCAAGTCTCTCAAGCGGGTACAAACCCTTTGACACCTGCAAGGCTCTCATACCGAATGACGCCAGAGCTCCTGGGCAAAGGTGCGACGAGGGAGTCGTTCTGGGCAAAAGGGTTTCATGTCCGAGATCATCTGGCTGGGCCCTAGGTTGTTTATTCCTAACGTTCGCTCTTGTCTGGGGGCCCCTTGGTAGGGTTGGCCTAAGCCCCTGGTCTTCTGGTCCAGGCGAACCAAGGGCCTATGGCCATCGCAAATACTAGAACACAGCATTTGCTCTTGTTTTGTATGAAGCTGTTGTTGGGAGGGATCCGGGGACCAAAGGACCAGGAAACCAGATCTCCCCTTAGTCCCTGGTCCTCTGGGCCCCTGGTCGTCTGGTCGCCTGGTCCTCTGGTCCTCTGGTCTCTGGTCCCCTGGTCCTGCGGCTCCCCAACCCCCCTCCATGAGAAACAGCACGCAGATGGAGCCTTTCAGAACCCCTGATACAGACATTGTGGTTGCAAATGGGGAGGGCTGCGCCCTTCCCAACGCCCGTATTAGCCAAGCCGCGGCCACGGGCCTGTGAAAAGTTGGGCGGGCTTAGCTGTTTAGCGAAAGTGCAGAACCGGAATTAATAAATGAAGGGGCATGTTCAAGATATTCGTCTGTGATGAGGGGGCGTGTTTAAGATATATTGAACCGGTCTCGCCCATGGGGGAAGGGGGGGTTGTTTAAGATATATGATGAACCGGATTCGCCAAATGAGGGGGCGTGTTTAAGACATATGATGGGCCGGACTCGCCACATGATGGGGGGGGGGGGG